AGAACAGCTGGTAGTTTCGAACTGCTGACCTTAAGGTTCGCAGTCTGATTCGTAACCACTACGTTACCAGAGCTCCTTACCAGGAGTCCTTAGAGCCCCTAAATGGGTACAAATTGTCATCCTTTCAGTTAGCAGCTGAGCACTGAAGTATTGTGCCACCAAAGCGCCTTTTAAAAATGAATAATATAACTCTAAATGCAAGTTAGTTTCAAATCAAATGAATGATGACCCAGGATCACTACTGGTTCCATTCTCATGATTAAATATCCCCACTACAAAAGACTCAAAATGACAGAAAACCCTTCGTAACTTGAAACAACCCAATATGAGTCTTATTGGAAAGAAAGTAGATCTGCAAAAAACATAAAGTCATAGTTTTGTTAAGAACTTAATATTCAACTAGGAAAAACTAAGTAAAAGTACACACATGCAAAACACATAATATAAAACTCACTTTTCAAAACTAATTTTATTAATCATTTTAGTTGGAATGCTAACCACAAAGTTGGTGATTCAAGCCCACTCAGCTGCTCCTCTAGAGAAAGATGAAACTATCTGCTCTCTCAAGGATATGCAGGCTTGGAAACACTATGCAGGGTCACTATGAGTTGGAAAAGATTCAACGGCATTTAACAAAACAAAATAATTTTGGAGGAGAATATCTTCAATACCTACCCAGTATCTATTCCTCTTGTTTCTAAGAACTCTTAACTATATGCAGTTTCTCAGGGCATCAGTTGTTTGACCTTGAAGTATTTTCTTTTTTATACATATTTTGCTTGCATGTGGCAGGGTAATAAATACTAATCCACACTAAGAAGCAAACAAAATAGAGTTTGCCATCATTTTTCCTTGTTTGAACCATTTTCTTTCAAATGTTTGGAAACTAAATAAGCAATATTTATCAAAGCATTTAAATCACCATGTATGTGTTGTGTCTCATTGCTAAAATAATTCAAAACAGGAGAGGTAAAAGGGAAGAACATGAAACAACCCATTAATTAGTTTTTAAAAGTTATCTAACACCTCCTCTTTCACCAAAGTCTTAAATACTATTATATCCTTACCTACTTGCTTTACAGAAATTGAATCAGTGATGTGTTCCAAATGATATGTACAAAATTCAGGAATCCAACAATATAAGCATTTAAACAAAGGGTAAAAAACGTGAAGCTATTCTAAGTAAATAAAAAGCTGCAGGATAAATGTAAAGTGTGTTTCTTTAAAGTGACTCTGCACTTTGATTCTAAGAACCTTAAGATTAAGTAGTTTTAATTAATTACTAATCAATTGTTGTTGTTAAGTGCTGTTTAATCGGTTCCAATTAATAGCCACCCTGGCATCTTAGTGGTTACAAATAGGGCTGCTAATCTCCTGGTCAGCAGTTCAAAGCTACCAGCTGTTCTGCGGAAGAAAGATGAGGCTTTCTGCTCCTGTAAAGATTTACAGCCTCGGAAACCCTGTACAGGGTCACTATGAGTCGGAAC